AGCTCTGCAATAGTTCAGACTGTTCGGTTTGAAGTCACTATGGTCACTCTGCAGTCTGAACTATTACTGTAGAGCGGCAATGGCATATCATTAGAAATACTATCCTATGGGCCGTAGTGTATCATGTATGTACATGTGTCAGCAATGCCATATTGAAACCGTATAGACAGTCCTGCTTTGTACAAGCTTGTCCGGTAATTTCTGTCGTAAAGGTACAGATAGCACATATTTAGCGCGGAATTTGCGCTATAGGATTGCCACTACACTACGTTTGGCGTAGCACGCAAATTTGTGTATCTCGCTGTTTTGAACCGGCAGAAATTACCGGACAAGCTTGTACACCACAGTATTATCACACAATATACACATTAGACAGTAAGAAACGTATTCTTAAATTTTAAAATACAGTAACTTGTTGAGAAAGCAATATTTCAAACCTTCAGCTAACTGCACAATTCTGTGTGAGCCTGTGTCTAATACAATAATGGTGTTTATGTAGCAGAATGTGAAGAAAAATAGCGGATATTAATAAAAGAAATTCGGTCCAATGTATTGTAATACGTCTGAACTTTACTTATATAATGACATTCCATTTTGTATTTTTTTTATGGGTGCCCCTATAGGCACCCCCTAAAACCCCTCTATATTATAGGCACCCCTTTTTGCACCCCGTTTATTATAGGCACCTTTTTTAGCTTAATTTGATATATAACAGATTCAGTGTTCTTAGGTGATAATGCAGCTTTATTCCGATAATAATTTAATTTTTTAAAATAGTTTTTCTCCACTGCGTCGAGTTACGTACATCAGGCTTTCCAACCGGTATTAAAACAGAACGATTCGGCAAATCAGCCAGCGAATTACATAGATATCGCCTCTTCTACTGTGACCAGAAGGTCATCTTTCGCGTTAGAGAGCTCATTCATTATTAACTTCCTTCCAAACCGTTTTCACCTTGCGATTTTCTCAGCTTGCAAGACTTTTAAGCCGCGGCTTTTGTGAATACGAAGTTCGCGGGCGATACCACAGAGATCGTTTCACCAGTGTCGGAAAAAGCCATCGGGCCGGACTTGTTGCAGTTGAACTTGTTGGATAAAAAAATCTTTTGAAATGGTGCTTGCGGCGGATGAACTACAGTATATAGTTAGTATATTTTGGCACTTTTTGAAAAACGTGCGGGTTCATTATCAGATTTTGTAATAAACTTTCTTATAATTTTTTACTGCACAACAGGGCGCAACATAAAAATGTCAGTTTAACTACTAAAGGTAGCTAAGACATTGCCCTTGGAAAAACAATTTTGGCCTAGAAAAGTATTCCAAGCGTTAACACGGAATTGATTTTCGAAATCTCTACTTTCCTTTTCACGAGAATTTCGAGTGCGTTGTCCGATCTGCAAGTCTGGTGCGAGCTGGGCACTGGTTTCGGCGGCTATGAGTGGACATGCGAGCTCCAGAACAGTTCATCTCGTTTTTCTCTCTAGTGCACACTTTCGTAAAATTTTTTCGTACTTAAGGGAAGGCTCCAGAGACTGAATGTCTCGGGTCATATAGTACTATCATACTATGTACGATATTAATCAAAAGTGGGTGCTTATAATAAACGGGGGTTTTAGGGGTGCTTATAACGGTTTCCTTTTTTATTCTTTCTTGGGAATTTTTGTGATGAAATAGTGAGTCCTGCCATTTCTGGTTCAAACCAGATTGGCAGGGACAAGTTGTTCAGGGGAAGAACACTGCAGTGTACGAACTGCCCTCGGTTCTCGCAGCATCTTTTCGTTGGCCTTCTTAGGTTCTCATTGCTCCTTTTTCAACTTCATACCGCCCGTGACGTACTTCGGAACCCATTTTCGTCTGTCTAATGGAGTCGTCAGACTCCATTAGACTGTAATAAGAATATATATAACAAAACGAAGCCTACTTGAGCGTTATGCCCGGCTGTTCTGCTGAGTCGCGAAATCGTGATCGACTTGTAAGTGTTCGTTGTATGCTTACAACGATAATAATTGTAATCCTGTTTTGGTGCGACAACATAGTGTTGTTTGCCGAATATTGAAGGACTGTCTGCCTTTCTGTGAGAGGGGCTTACATATTCTAAATTTTCTTGGTAACCCAGGGACTCACAGTTAGTGAAGTTACAGTTACTTGCTTCGGAACTGCTGACAGTACATGGCTGACGCAGGATCATGCTGCGGAAACTCATCATAACAACTTGAAAAGTTGTGTAGTTGCAGTTCCATCGGTGGTGGAAGCGGTATTTTCAGAGAAGCAAAAATACTGGAAATCCTAAAGCGCCGCTTCTTCCACAGATCAGAAAGGCCGCAACGTAGGTAGTCGCGGTATATTTTTCATATATAAACCTGCGCGGGCGGGCAGAAATTTTCATATCAACGCTTGGAATGTTCGTAAATTATTGTGAGTTTGTGGATTGAAATCGATGGATTGGTAACTCATATATCTTGTCGAATGACCTTTACGCTATTGGACTTACCATGCATTTCGTAACATACATTTTTGCTGCGTTCTTCTGTGGCATTTATGTACATAATTTTGTTGCGGTACGTAGTCTGTTGTAATGTTACAGTGTTACAGCACAAACTGGTCGTTATATTATCCCAAATGTGTACATCAAATGTTCTTATTGCAGTTCCTGAAACTATGCGATAGTTTGAGTTTAAGTAGTTGCTAAAATGTTGGTCAAATTATAGTTTGGCAAACAACTGATTATCGTGTTATTTTGATTTAGGCGGACAACATTCGTTGCCGCAGTTTAAACGACAAATGTGCGACTTTCTATGCGATTAATGCATGCTGTTCCGGCTTAATCTGCAACCTAACGGACGGTAAATGGGGGGTTTGCAATTATCCAAGCGAAATCTCCACGACTACTCCAATATCTTTGTGGCTCACCACAAAGAATTCGCCTCCGACGCCTTCCATCAAGGATAAGCTGCCAGCGGCCCAACAATCAGCCCCTAAGATGTCATCATCCAGGCATACTTTTGACGATAAGAAGACCACTCATTCATCTACCGCAGCCAAGCCTCTGGTCGCGCAACCTGTTGATGGAAGCAATGCGTCTGCCTCCTTGAATACGATCCACGAGTTTTGCCGGTTATCGGGTACAAACGCCGAGACTTGCCCATCCTGGACGATGCGAGACGGGAAGTTTGATGCTGGAGGTAGGCAGGATGATAGATTACAGATGATGTGATACTAATGGATAAATTACCGTATATTCAAGCCTGTCTCAGAAACGGGTAAGCACTTGTGAGGCGATGGCTCCCCTGCGTCCACCTTAGTGACGCTACTGGAGTTGGGGGAGTGCTTCGTTGCACTACGCACTGGGGATTCCCCATGGAATTGCCGTCTGTGGCGTGGCTCTCTTCTGATTGGCTGACGGCTGCTGTTCACTGTGTTCACTATGCGCCGTGCAGTTTATATGTGAGAATTCTGGTAGACGTTAGCTCACCGAGCATTGAACGTCAGTGTGTTGGTTTTCACGATAGAGAACGTTAATAAAGTGTACTACGTAGACTGGATATCGTGCGTTGTGCATTTCTTCCTTTAAACGTCACGTATTACACTCCACGGAGTCCTGTCAGTCTGGGCTACCGTCCTGGACTCTTTCACAGTCCACGGTGATATGGTAGCAGAGCCGTGAACAGACGGTTTCTGAGTTCTATCTGTTTGGCGAACGGCCACATCTTACTTGTTTGGCGAACGGCCATATGGATCTGGATCATCTTGATCTCATTGATCTCATTTCACCAGTAAGGCACTGGTTTTCCTCATCTGAAGCAAGGCGCACTCATCGGATTATCAACTCTAAAGGCAGCACTGACTAGAGAGTCTCCTGTAGGAGAACTCGTCGTGCACATCGATTCAGACGGCAGAAGGCTGCGGTGCAAGACCTCTCCTGTCGGAGAACTTGTACTGTTTCCTCTGCTAGGCAGCGAGCACCTCTTGTTGGGGTCAAGGCTGTCGGGCACAAGAGCCGAGAAGCCACGAGTTGGCAGCACCGAAGGAGGTGCCAAGAGATCAGTTTACGCGCTTCATCAAATTGGTTGTAGAGCGACCTGCTGGTAGGCCTGACAAGCCCAGCAGAAGGCAGACTAGGTCGGACAGGAAGGCGCCAAAACCGTGCGGAATACGGCTGCGCGGGATCGGAGTTTGGAGAAGATCATCTGGATCATCTCCATCATCTGGATCATCTTTTTGCGGGATCGGAACGGTAGACAGGTAAAAACCGTTATTAATTATTGGATTGGTTCAGGCGTAAAAAGCGCAATTTTCATTGGTCCGTATTGGGCTGAGCTAGACGTGTGATTGGTCAGTTAAACGGGTTCTGATTGGTCAAAATTTTTAACGGTAAAATCGATCTAAAACGATCTCCTACCGATCTCCCAGCAGTGAAAACGATCTTTTTTCATTGGAAATGATCTAAATTCAACTAAAGGAAGTTGATTTTAATTGAATTGAAGTGACCAAAAAAGTGACCATCTCGGAGATCGATCATCTCGAGATCGTCAGTGATCTTGACTTCAGATCAGATCGATCTAAAACGATCTCATAACGATCTCTCACCAGCTAAAACGATCTCTTCTCATCGTAAACGATCTAATTTCAATCAAAGGAAGCTGATTTCAATCGAATTGAGTTGACCAAAAAGTGACCATCTCGGAGATCGATCATCTCGAGATCATCAGTGACCCTTGAGATCAGATCAGATCAGATAGTGACCTTTACAACTGAGCTGAGATCATCCATTTCAATCGAATACGAACTCTAAACGATCTTTCTAGCAGTTTTATCGATACTAACAGCTGGAGGAGATCATTTTTGAGGCAAACCTCTCGATCTTTTTGTCAAAAAGTGACCTTTAAAATCGAACTCGATCGAAGTAGATCAGCTAAAAAGCGATCTCAGGGACTTAAAACGATCTCAAAATAACGTGTGTGTGAGCAAAACCAACAGGTGCGTCACAGTTATCCGATCACAATGGACAAAGAAGCTATTGAACCGACATCAAACAGCAGTCAGGGGAGCCGTAGCTCTCACGGGTCACAGCAAGGCGCACATAACCCGTACAAGAAAGACTTGTACCCGTACTCGCGTCCAGTTGGACATGATCGAAACACTCGAGCACCGAAAGTCCCCGTGAAGAAAGATTCACGTGGGTCGGAAGCGACATATCAGAAGGCAGTCGAAGCAGTGTCAGCTCAGGAGAGCTCCAGTGATGATCTGAAACGATCTCCCGCGCCTACGGCGGGAAGTAGTGAGGTGAACCAGCAGGTCACCAAAGAAGGAACGAGCTCGGAACGAGCTACAGAGATGGATCCGACGTCGCAAAAGGATGTAACCGCCCAGGATAAGAAGGAAAACCTGGATAAAACCGATCTCAGCGAACAGCTAAAGATCACATCCGACGATCTCAACGAGCTCAATCTCGATGACCTCACACTTGGAGACGAAACAACAACCGAGGATATCTTCGAGAGTCCAATGGCATCTGATGAGATGATGTCTAATCGCGGAAATGAAGAATCGTACTTCACTGAGGATGAGATGACATTGAATATGTCATTCAAAACCGCGATGAAGGAAGCTGATCGAGCTCAGGGATTGACACCTTTTGAGGACATCCCCGAGAGTCTGATCGAAAGGAATCAGACAGGGAAGATCGTCAACGTACGATCTCCATCTCCCAACAGCCCCACTTCAAGCCTGAAACGACGAGTCAGAGAACTTGAGATTTCGTTGGAAGAAAAAGAAGCTCAGGTTATCAAGAAGAAACAGGAATATCAAAATAAATTGGGATCATTACAAACGCGCATATACGAGCTGGAACAACAGCAAGGCATATTGGAAAGTACGGCAGATGAGTGGAAAGTTCGATATGAACGTCAAAAACAGATCGCTGAAGAATCAGCAAAGATCGCGGATGACAGAGAGATGGAAGGCTATATGGCAGTAAGCGATCTCAACGAGAGTCTGTCAGAGGAATCCGCTGAACGATCACGTCACATAGCCGAACTCACAGATCGGTGTGATGAATTGCGCAAAAAGACAGATGAAGCTGAGGAAAAACGAAGTGAATATGCGACCAAACTGGCTGAAGCGACCAAACGGTTATCGACGGTGAATAAGGACATGTTCAAACTCAGGAACGATTTGAAGGTAAGAGACAAGAGCATTGAAACGCTTCAAAAGGAATCGGAAGATCATCAGAAACGAGCGGATGATGCTCTCAAAGTGGCACAAGACCTGAGAGAGCTCCTAGCTACTGAAGGAGAACGACTTAAAAACGAGATCAGGCAGGTCACTGAGGAGAACGCGCAGCTCAAAGAAGCTGGTCAGAAGGCGGCCGAATGGGGCCAAAGATGGGAAGATGAAGCACGACGACTAGACACGAAGGCGACAAAAGTCGAAGTAGAGAGAAAAGAACATCAGAAAAAGATCCGTGAGCTGACAGATGAGAACATAAAGCTCAACACGGAGCTGGTCGATATGACGCAGACGGTGATGACTCACCAAGATGAAGTCACCCAATCGAGAACTCAACTGAAATCGGCAGCTGATGCGTATGCTCAACTGGAACAGCAAATGAATCAGCTAATTGACCAGATTAAAGCGAGAGAGACGGACGAAAAGGAGTTAAACGCGGAGACGATTCAGCGGCAGAATTACGCCCATATGCTCAAGCAGGAGCGAGATCAGCTGCAAACGGAAAACGAGCAGCTTAACATCAGAATTAAACGTCTCGAAGATGAGAACAAGGGCCTAAAAGTGACAAATAAACATAGGGAAGAGCTAATTCTGCAAGCAGGAAGTGCAAGAGAGATGCTGCCGACACACCCCCGCCCAGTTATAGTAAGGCACAAGAAGCGGGCGGGAGCTTCCACTTTGAGATGCCGCTACGAACGGGTGGCGGCACAGGAGGCTTCAAAGCGGAAAAGGATGGGGAAACTTCGGATAATAGGAATCCGTCGGGTAGTCGCCAACCTCATATGAGCTCAGATGACCCCTCACAGTTTCAACAGCCCATTGAAACGGCAGTTAAAGATGCAGTTAACCAAGATGCACGATCACCCCGACACGAACATGACGGCAGATACTTCGGGGATTATCGAAATGATCGAAATGACAGAAACGAACGATATCAACGAAATGATCGAAATGAAGATCGAGGGCAACGGGAATTTAACAGGTCCATCATAAATATGGGCCGCAAAACTGACCTCGCGACTTTCGACGGTAACCGCGATGCGGTAAGCGGATGGATCAGATTGGTGAAAGAAACACAACGGACATACGATATGACCGACGACCAGATACTGATCGACATCGCCAGCGCTGTCAGAGGACCAGCTAAGATCTGGTTCGATGGTGAACGAGACATCGAAGAAGCTGAAGAAGAGGTCTACACGGTCACGGAATGGTTAAATAAGTTCAGAGATGAATTTGGAGATCGAAACGAAGAAGTCCTCGGCTTACGCGAAGCCATGGCCAGGAAATTTAGACCTTGAAAAGAGACGCTTGAGCAATTTTACCAAGCGATCATGAAATTCAAGGCTAAGAAAGCCATCACCGAATTACAAGCAGTTGCATTCCTTATCGATGGATGCAGAGTCGATAACGATCTCTATAAGGCGCTGAAAACGAAGGGGTTCAGAACGCCAACAGAGATCAAGGACTTCTTCCGATCTTGGGCAGCGGCGAAGACAAGTACAAAGTAACCGAAAACCAACGTAATCAACCGGATTACGTGACCATCCGCTCGGGACAGGTCGAGATGGCACAGAGGCAATATGCAGCCACACCGTCTCCAGTGGACTATCAGACGAGATCGCCATCCCCAACTCGCAAGGAGATGACTTTTATCGACAGTCAAACCGGACAACCGATCTCGTATGCCATGGTCGCCGCGATACAAGCGCAGGCGCAGGCAAGGCCAATGGCCCCGGCAAATGTTATGCCGAGTCCCCTGAAGGGAGGGGTGCCCCAACAACAAGGAAGGTCCAACTATGGAAATGGAAACGGAAATTGGAATGGTGGCCAACGAAATGGCAACTTTAACCGAAACCAGGGGCAGGGCAACTATCAGCCCAATAACCGACAAGGGAACTACCAACAGAACCGAGGCAACTATCAGCCACAACAGGGTTCCCGTACAGAATGAAAATTCGGTCAACTTGACGGATGGATCGCCCAGGGCGTGCAGCTGTGCCAGAATTGTGTATTTGGCAACCACGACGCACAGAACTGCATGTTCGCTGGTATGCCACCAAACCGGAACCCGAACTTGTTCGCCACCAGAGAATGGGAACGGCTGCGAGCCCAAGGTGGCTGGCGACAAGCAGTAGCGAACGGCTACGACCTGGTTGCGAGATGGGCTGCGTTCAAGTAGGGGAACGGTGGCGGCGGCCAAGGGAATGGAAATAACGGTGGTGGCCAAAATGGTGGCTATAACGGCGGCGGAAGATGTCGTTTCCGCGGGCGAGGTCGCGGCAATGGACGCGGCGGATACGGCAACCGGAACGGCGGCGGCAACGGACGCGCCGATAATAACGACGGTGGCGGCGCGAACGGCGCTGACCAGAGGAACGAACAAGTCCAGCAACAGCAGGCGCTGGATCAGGGAAACGGCCAAGATCAGTAGGTGCCGGTGAGCCTACTGATCCTCCGCAACCGAAACCACCGGATAAAGGAGGAACGCAGAATCGGATTGCGAAAGAGATGGCTAATAAGATGCCATCATCAGTGGGCAAAGTACCACAGCCACAGAATCGGACTGTAGGCGACACGGCTAATAAGATGCCGTCACATCAGCTGAAGGAGATGGTTCATAGGATGCCATCACAAGTGGACAAAAGGCCACTTCCGCAGAATGGTACTGCGAAGTCACCACAGAATGGTACTGTGAGTGAGATGGCTCAAAAGATGCCATCACAGGTGAAGAAAGGACCACCTGCGCAGAATGGAACTGCGAAACCACAGCAGAATGGTACTGCTGATGATCAGTTGATAAATAAAGGAAAATGTAGTGCCGAAAAGCTAAAAGAACGGCGCGCTCAACGTAACGAGATCATTCGAAAGGCGAACTTGAAGAAGAAACTGGAAGAAAAAGAGACGAATGATCAGCACTCCAGATTCCGAGAGTTTCTACGTAATCAAAACGCAGAGAAGGAGATGAAAACGAAATTTGGGAATTGTCCGGAAGATGAAGATGATACGGTACTAAAACAAAAGTGGTTAGAACAGAACGCCACGGTGGGCAGCAAAGCTGAAAAACCACTTCCTATAAGGAAAGCACCAGTGAGAGATCAGGGAGCAAGTGCAGTCGCTAAAACTAACGACAAAAAGATCGTTGGAAAAGGTCAGGAAAAGGAACTGACGCTGCGAAAAGTGCAGCTTGAAGAGAGCGAACGGGCACAACAAATCTCAGATGAGTCATTGGATGATGCAGTTACGCTACAGCGGAAGCAAATCTGGGGAAACCTCGTCCCAATGTTCAACGAGATGGACTATAAGAAGACACTCGTTGACCAAAACCGAAATGCTCCTCCAGCTGATAAACCGCCGAATTATGGAGAAAAAGTTCCGTTACAAAAGTTGCCAAGTGGCGGATTCGCTATTAAACCGACTGAAAGGTCACGAGATTTCACCGAAGCACTGCAAAAAGGTCCCAATGACAAGTCACCAGTTCGAACAGATGGGATGTCCTCGCAGATTGATCCAACGAAAACGAACAATGAAGTATCTGCGAAGGTGATCGATTGGATGACCCAAAACGGATATGAGATGGTAACATATGAGGGATCACCAGATCAGCTGAAGGACAGCGAAGAAGATGAGATGAAACGAGCTGATCAGATCACAGATGAGATCATTGAGCATCGGCGCGATAAATCAAATGATGTCACATTGCATCAGACCATCTCTGAGGTGATCAAAGATCACTCAGAAGTTGCGAAGGAGCAACTAAACGAAGTTGAAAAGATCGTCAAAGATGATAAAGCTGCAAAGGAAAAGGGGTGTGAGATGGGAAAAAGCTCAAAAGATGGAAAGAAGAGACAATTTTATGATATCCGAACTGATGTCCCACACAGGATCGATCATCTGAGTTCGATACTGAAGAGGAATAGCACCTTAGCGAACGGGCAGGTGTCCTCTTCAGCAGTTGATATGGATCCGGGACCTGTATCGCTTATCCCAGTTAAATGTACCGTTCGTACGCTCAAAGTACAAAATGGATCGAAGCATAATTTGCCGAAAAGGATCGAAGCGTACACACATGAGGTGAAAATCGGCGACATAAAGGTCTTGGCGATGTTAGATACCGGTGCGGAAACATCACTGATCAGCCGACCGTTTTGCGAAAAGAACGGACTTCATGTCTTACCGCTGCCACCAGATCGATTGGTGCGAATTAACGGAATCAGCGGGACATCAGGCTTCAACGTAACGCATTATTGTGTAGCACCAGTGACATTGCGGAAACGGACCAGTCAACACTCCTTCTACGTACGACCGAAAACAGATGACGTACAAGTTCTATTGGGACATGATTTTCTGGCGACAAAGTTCGTCTTGATCGATAATCATGGAGAGGAGGAAGTTGAAGATGAGCCGAAATCAGCTGTTAAAGTTCAAGCCGGAAAGGTCACCGGACTTGTAAAAACAGCTAAAACGGATCAAAAGGTTATCCCAGTACCAGAGGCACTGGGAAAGCAGACGATGAACCAACGAAGGGGAGGTTCACCTGCTCAGCTGTTGACAATCGAAAAGATGGCAGCCATCCAAAAGGAGATCTCCACCCGACTGGGGAGATCATCAGTGAAACCGAAAGAACGGGCAAATGTCGTTATCCCAGTATCAGAGGCACTGGGAACGAAAGATGAAACCCCGTTAACGATGGAGCAGATCGCTGGCATACAACAGGAAGCAGCTACTGAAGCGAAACGAGCTCTTGTACCTGGCATGGAGTTAGCAAAGTCTATCCCAGTACCAGAGGCACTGGGAATAAAAGCTGCCAAAGTCTGGAACGATAAGAAATTCGAAAAAGAATTAGACGCACCGAAAAAGGTGACGGAAGATGAACAGGTACTCCTAAGTGAGATACGAGATGGAGCAGTCAAACAGTTGAGAGATCAACAACAATCGGAGATCATCGAAATCTCATCTGACAAGGATAAAGGGACACCGGATCACGGTTTTTGGAATACGGAAACCGACGACAGCAACAACCCGTTCGCTTGCCTCGATAAAATGACACTGGAAGAACGTATTAGCAGTTGTCATCACGGTTACAACGAGAACCCGTGTCGAGTGCAACCTCAAGGGAGATGTGAGGAATGTCGTCGAGACGCTTGTCGAAATGATCTCAGAGATTGGCCAGGCTGCAATGCGGCAATCGAAGAGACGAAAAACCATGTCCAGAAGGAAGTGAAAAGTATTAGTAGAACAAACTCAATGTGGAATCAGCACATCGAACGCTACCATTGGCAGCGATATAAGGAATGGCTATCCTGCGTTCGGAACTTCATCATAACAAGGGGGAGATCATTACTTCATTGGGATAACAGCGTCGACAGCTTGATTGCGAACTTAGGGAGATCGGACCCGAACGTCAAGCAACTCCGATCGAAACTCGATCGAGAAATAAATGAAGTATTTGATGAAGGAATCATGTGGGAAAATGCAAGAACCGATCTTTTCTGGGACTTTCGTGTTAATCACCTCTATAAGGGAGAAGGAACAACGATCATCTTCCCAACCGGACTCGGTAAACCAGTATATGAGCTGTTCGAAATGTTCTATAAGGCGCTGGAGAGAGGAAATGAAAAATCCTTTGAAGAGTATTGGAAAAAGTTGGAAGCGGAATTCCCTCCACTGCCAGATACCGATATACTTGAACTGAAAGTATATCGAAAACGCAGAGAAGTTGAACCAGCTGGTTACCTGGTCAAGAAAAAGGTGACCTTCGCACCAGTTCCAGAGGGAGCTGAAAGGGATTAAGGCAAAAGAAACGGGCAAACCCCTGCTCAAAAATCCGAAAACGAAAAAACTTAGCGATTCTCAGGGCGACGAAGGTGACCTTTCATCTGAGGGAGATGGAGCTGATGAGCGGCCACCCGATAGGAGCGCTGCAGCTGACAATGAGAGCAGTGACTCAGAATCAGATTGGACAAGCTCGAGTGACAACTCAACAACTTCAGAGGACTCAGGTGTAAATGACCTCTCAGAACAAGAGGATCTCCTCGATCTCGACGAAGATGACGAAGTTGATGAAGAAAAGGAACAGGACATTAAAGTGAGAAGAACGAAGGTGGAAAGGATGAAATTGAACAGAGAGACGATAAAAGTCTATAGCGATCAACGGATTCTATTAAAACCATCTGTTTGTACCCGTGTAAAAGTTTGAATGGGGAAATTCGTACCAGCTAAAGAGAAGCTGATGTTCACACCCGTCTTCCAAGTGGAAACCGATGTTCAACCGTTAGCGGGAGTGACCGATCATAGAGGAAGGCACTTTGATCTGGTCATCGCTAACCACAGCATTAAACGGCAAGTTGTTAAGAAGGGTCAGTTCCTTGGCTATGTTGAGCCATACGATCATATGGAGAACGTCCAGATCAATAGTGGCACAGTAAAGAACGTGCTTTTTGGTCCCGAAGTGGATGACACAACGAAAGCCGAGCTGACAAAAATCATCGGAAATTTGAAACTCGGACCCGATCTCACACAAGCTCAGAAAAACGATGTGTATAATGCATTCTGGGAGTTCTGGAAGGTGCTTCCCACATCGAAAAAACCGTATGGCGATGTAAAAGGGATCACCCATGTAATTGACACGGGAGATGCGAAACCAGTAAAATGCAATCCCGCCAGAACGAGCTGGACAGGTCGCGAGTTCATAACAAAGCACATCGAAGAGATGCTGGCGCAGGACGTCATCGAGCCATCAGATGCCGATTGGAGTTTCCCAGTCGTGCTGGCTGCGAAAAAGAACGGTGACGGGACAATGGGCACAAGATTCTGCGTCAACTACATCATGCTAAATAAGTTAACGAAGAAAAACAATTATCCGTTACCGAATCCAGATGAGTTGCTAGATGCATGTGCAGGCAACAAGTATTACGGGAAAATGGATCTGCAAAGTGGATTCTGGCAGATACCGATGGATCCAGAATCGATTAATAAAACGACTTTCGTAACGCAAGACGGCATGTATCGATTTAAAAGGATGCCATTCGGAGTATGTAATGGACCCGCGACATTTCAACTGTGCATGGACAAAGTCCTATCCAAGGCAAAGCGAAAGGGCTGCGTCTTTGGATACATCGATGATGTCGTTTTCGCTGGAAAAACTTGGGAAATCTTCCTGCAGAATATGAGGAATGTCCTTCAGAGTTTGGTCGAAGCAGGTTTCACCATTAAACCGACGAAGTGTGAATTCGGAATGCGGGAGATGGGATTTTTAGGCCATATACTCAGCGAAGATGGAGTTCGCATGGATCCCGAAAAGATCACCGCAGTATCCGAGTTCAAACGACCTCAGACTGAACGGCAGCTGAGATCGTTTCTGGGACTTG